GAGAGTAATGGGGCGGGGCGGATCTGCGGGGGCCCTGTGCAACTTGCAAAGGGCTTTGACTTTGATTGGGGGCGGGGGACAGACAACAGACAAGGCAGGCCAGTGATCTCTGAGAGAAGAGAAACTAGAGGTAAGCCGTACAACTGCGCAAGTTACTACCTGAAGGGATTGTCCAGGCTGCCCAAAGAGGGCCCAGGGGTCTTCTTGAATTGAGAATTTGGGGAGGCCAAGGCAATTAGAAAGCTCAGAGTGGAGTATGAGGAAGGAGAGAGCTACACGTGCCAATGACTCCCAAATTCCTACACCTGCAGCCAGAGTCTTTGAACTCCAGCATGTCTAGCTCTCGGGGGATCCTAATAGACACCTTCCAACCCCCAAACTGCCACGTTTAGTCATTGGCTGAATCCAGTCCCTTTTACTGCCTGACATTCACGCAACTCAGTTTACCATCCCGAACCCAGGACCACAACCTCGCCTCCAACAACCTCCTCAGGGAACCCCAGCCACCCTCCCTCTTCCTCCATGCATTCTCTGATGGCAAAGAGCACCCTTTCTAAAATCCTCATGCCATCATGTCATCCTTTTGGATCATTCTCCACTGCCCTCAGAAGAAGCCCATACTCTTCAGCTCATATATAGCCTTATGTCCCCAGCTCCTGCCAACTTCTCCAGTGACACAAAACAACACATTCACCCTCACACCTAAGCACATTCTGCTTCCACTGCCTGGAAGTGCCTTTCTTACTGTCTTTCTTACTGACTGTCCTTGGCTAACTCAGTCATTTTTCAGATCTTAGCTTGGGTGTCAGCTCCTCCAGAAAGCCTTCCCTGATTCTCCAAGGCCTCCTATGCGCTCTGACAAGCCCTATATGCTCCAGCCCTGCCTGAGTACTCATCGCTGTCATAAGCGTAGGGACTCTTTATTTTATTCTCTGTACATCCCCAGCAGCCCACATGCTGTAAATCCTCGGTAAATATTTGACTGAATGAGAAACGGGCTGAGAACATATCTTGGGGAGGGCTCTCTAGGGAGGACAGGGAGAATGGGGACATAAACAAGGAGGTGGGTCCACAGAAGACCTAGAGAAAAGGAGATCCATGTGGAGAGGGACCGCACTAGCCACCAGCCCTCCAGGAGGGCCCAGGCTCACCTCACAGTGGTAACACTCCACATGGTAGTCTCTGTCCATGGACACCACACGGATGGTTGTCTCACAGCCCTGGAGGAAGAGATGGGGTTTTGCACACAATTGTGTGTAGTGCACACACCTACACAACACGGTCTTGTCATGGCAGGTGTGCATTCACGCCCACGTGAGCACTGGCTTCAGTGCTTCCGCGGCCAGAATGGCATCAGCAGGTGCACAGGAATGGACACCCTCCTGCAGCTGCACCCAGCCGCACACACACGTCTATGAGAGCCGTCACACAGGTGTCAAATGTGTGTATACGTGTTCTCTTCAGTTCTTTGCAGTCAGGAATGACCAGAGCCAGTCCGGCCTCCCCAGGCACGGTAGCTTGGGGCAGAACCGACATGTGTGGGAGACCCCATGCCAAGAGAGGTGCACCACCCGATGGTGTCTCCTGCATAGACTGCATCCTCCTCTTGGTGTGCTCCTCCCACCACCTCAGCCTGCAGAGCTAACAGACAGGGGGCGATCCTTACATCCGTGGGCAAAGGAGCTGAGGGCCACCGTTTCTCTCTAACTCATGCAGGGACACGTGCACCCTGCGTGCATGGGCACAACGCAACCCTCAGCCCTGAGGGATATGGGGCGGGAGCATCCGCATCCCTCCCACAGGGGCCCAAAACCTGGGGCCAACCTGGGGCAGAGGCCAGGCTGGGCCAGACACCTGATCATCTCCAGGTGAGTGGTTCCTACCTGTGCAGGGAGGATAGGACGGGCACAGGAGGCACATTTCGGTGCAAAAACCCTGGAGGAATAAAGAAAACCAGAAGTGACCAGCTGCCAGAGGCCAAGGGCCCAAAGGCAGACCCACCCACAGTAGCCCCATGACATGGCCCAAGCGTCAGAACCCCTTTCCTTGTGTGGACACACTGGTGTGGGAGCAGCCTCTGCGGTGCCTTCTTGGCCTTTTAACTGGTTCCCAATTCACTTCCACCCCATCACCTCCTCCAGGACGGCTTCCATTTCTCCCTACCCTCTCCCTCACACTTCCTGTGAGTTCCCTGCCCCCTAACATCCAGGTTTGGGCCACCCCTAGCCGAGACCCCTGCAAAACCTGGCTCCACACGGAGTACCAGGGATCCATGCGGTGCACCAACCCCATGCAAGGCTGTAGCACAAGACCAGAACTCTGAGGGCTGGGCCTAGAGCCACAGCTGGGGAGAATGGACTGGCCTCTCACATGGATACCAGACAGGCAGGGAAGGGACTCTACAGAGACTCCCAAGCCACCACCCCAGGCAGAAGAAGCCAAACCTGGCCCTGGGAGCAAAGGGATAGATGCTGGGTGGGGCAGCCAGGAGAGCCCCCACCACTAGGAGGAGGGGCGCATGCAGGTAAAGGTGGGGAGGGGAGAGAGATGGCTGGTGGCTGAATCACCCAAGAGAGGGTTCGAGGCAGAGAGCCATGCTTTGCCCCAGCCGCTGAGCACACAAGGGGAGGCTGGAAGTAAAAAGGCCAAGAATGGAGAACACAGACAGGCAGGCTGGAAAAATGCTTCCTGGGGAGGCAGGAGAAACAGCGGGAGTCACACCCACCCCAACAGTGCTGGCCACTCACGTGTGATAGTCTCTGACGCAGTAGATGTTGTTCTCCACATCCACAGTGAAGGGCACCCCGTCCAGGCACTCGTTACACACTGAGCACCGGAAGCAGCCTGGGTGGTAGGACTTCCCGAGGGCCTGCAGGATCTGGGGGTGGGAGGCACTGAAGGGTCAGTGCAGACGGAAGGCTCAGCACAGCCCCCAGAAGAGGCTCTGGCTCTGAGCCCTCGGCAGGTCTGCAACAGGTGAAAGGGTGGGTCCTAAGACCACCCATGTCAGAGGGGTTCCAGGAGGCTGGGGGAGGTTCTCACCATCTCCATGATGAGGTGTCCACACACACTACACTTGTCGGCTGTTTGCTGGAACCCAGAGTACTGAGAGGAGACAAAGGATCCAGGATGTCGTGTGACAGAGGGGCACTCCCTGCCCAGCCAGCACCTGCCTCCTGGGCCCAGGTCTCCATGTGCAGCAGGAGGGTCCCCTCCCCTCCCCTGGCACCTGCCAGGGCCCAGCTCTGACTCACCAGGAAGTCCTCCTGGCAGTACACTTTCTCACCCACGTTGTAGAACGCCTTCCCTCGAAGTCGTCTCCCTGCAAGGATGAGTATCGAGAAGGGGGTCCTTGGGCCGCTGGAACCCGGGGATGGGGCCCCTGCTTCCATGTCTCAGGACTCTCCTCCAACAGACGAGAAGCAGATTATGGGCAAATTTTAACATTTCCCTTTCATATTAGGCTACTACTGTTATAATAATAAATCTTTTTAAAAGATTAAACAGCGGTGCCTGGGTCGCTCAGTCAGTTAAGTGTCTGACTTCGACTCAGGTCATGATCTCACGGTTTGTGAGTTCAAGCCCCACATCAGGTTCTATACTAATAGCTCAGACCATGGAGCCTGCTTCAGATTCTGTGGCTCCCTCTCTCTGCCCCTCCCTTGCTCACACTCTGTCTCTCTCTCTCAAGAATAAACATTTAAAAAAAATTCTTTTTTAAAAGATTAAACACACTGACAGGTTGTGTTAAGAGGTTGTCATTTTAAAATACATTCACATCAGGGGTGCCTGGGTGGCTTATTCGGTTAAGTATCCGACTTCGGCTCAGGTCATGATCTCATGGTCGGTGAGTTCAAGCCCTGCCTCGGGCTCTGTGCTGACAGCTCAGAGCCTGGAGCCTGCTTCGGATTCTGTGTCTCCCTCTCTCTGCCCCTCCCCTATTTTTGCTCTGTCTCTCTGTCTCTCAAAAGTAAATAAACATTACAAAAATGAAATGAAATGAAATAAATAAAATAAAATAAAATAAAATAAAATAAAATAAAATAAAATAAAATAAAATAAAATA